AGAACTTCCTGACTGTGAGAGCCGTTCAGCAGTGGAACTCTCTGCCCCAAAGTGTGGTGGAGGCTCCTTCTTTGGAAGCTTTTAAACAGAGGCTGGATGGCCATCTGTCAGGGGTGATTTGAATGCAATATTCCTGCTTCTTGGCAGGGGTTGGACTGGATGCCCCATGAGGTCTCTTCCAACTCTTTGATTCTATGATTCTAACCTATTGCAATCTGGCAGCACTCAAGTTGGGTACGCAAAAGGAAATGAATAGGACTGGAAGGAGAGAGTATTCTTGAGTTTTCCTCTCCCTTTGCTTCTCCTTCAGAAGGATCTCCAGGGGCGGCCGGAGCGGCCCACTTACATTATTCATATGGACGCCAGCCTAAGAGATATGGTTACATCCCAGCCTCGCCGTCAGGGACTATACTTTGACTTCTTAACTCCCGGCTGAAAGCACAGTGAGGAGATGAATCTGGAATCCACCGGTTGAAACATCACGGATCCTGAAGGAAAGCGGGACGGGATCAAACGAGGAGAACCTGTTGTCGGACCCTGCCTTGGGGGAGGACCTCTTTGGAGAAGGCTTTTCGGTCAGTAGCGGATCAACAGAAGAGGGAAAAGTCAAGGAGACGTCACAAAACCAGCTGAGAAGGTAAATAAGAGAAGAACTCTTTGGAAAAGATTATTTTGGTGATAGCAGAGCAAGAGAAGAGGGAGAAATCAAGGAAATTTCACCAAAAACAGAAGGACTCCTTGGAGATGAATAGCAGACCAAGAGAAGAGGGAAAAGTCAATGAGACTTCTCAAAACGACTGAGAATTTGGAGAAGAATAGCAGATCAATAGAAAAGGAAAGAGTCAAGGAAACATCACTGGACCGATTGAAAAGATAAAATAAGGACTCTTTAGGAAAGATTATTTTGGTAAGAGCAGACCAACAGAAAAGGGTAAAGTCGAGGAGACTTCACCGAATTGAATTAGAAGGTAAATAAAAGAAGGATTTGTTGTGGTCCTGAAGCTTGTGGCCAGCACAAAGGCAATTGAAGTAGTTGCAATTACCTTGTGTCTGCTATGTTGGTTTTCGAGTTTGGAAGGAACAGCATGAGGGTTTCGCCCTGAAAGAAATCATTACAGGAAGGATTCGGATCCTTCTCCTCCTCCTCATCCCTCCTTGCCAACCTCTGAACTTTGTGGCAAAGTGGCGGAGACGAAGCAAATAATGCGATTCCTGCTGCACCAAGAAAACGGTTAAGAAAGGGAAAGAGGAAGACGCCGGGGCCAAGAAGGGGAAGGTCCTCAGTGACTCAGAGGACGTGTCAGAGGCCAACATGAGCAAAAGCAATGCAGAGGAGAGCGAGATGGGCAGTGAGTTGGTGGAGGAAGAGGAAGGGGAGAGTGAGGAAGACCCAAAGAGGAAAGGGAGGGACAGGAGAGGGGCGGCCAAAGCAGGGAAGAAGGGGGCGGCCAAAGTAGAGGAGAAGCCGGTGAAAGGGGCGCCTGAGAAGAAGAAAGGGGCCAAGAAGGACAATGCCAAAGCCCAGCTGAAAGGGGCCACCAAGGCCATGGCCATGGCCAAAAAGGAGGGTCCGGCGAAGCCTGCGAAGAAGCGAAGCCTGAAGAGCACCTCCAAGATGGTCATGGGCTTCAAAGGGCCCGGACAGAAGAAGACACCCAAGAAGTCCCATTTCAAGAATGCCTCCCGCTTCTTCTGGGGCCTGAAGAAGCACAGCACCAAGCGGAAGAAGACCAAGAACAAAAACACGGGGGTGATGAAGTCCACCTCCAACCTCATGATGCGCTTCAAGGAGTTGGGGAAGAAGAAGAAGAAGAAAGAGGAGCCGGCACCTGGAGCAACCAAGAAGCCTTCATTCATGCTGATCCGGTTGGGTGGCCGAAAAACGGAAGAACAAGCGGGAGGGTTTTTCAGGAGCATCTTCCGGAAGAGAGGCAAGCCCAAGGAGAAGTTCAAGCTCCGGGCCCAGATCGTCAGCAAAGTGGCCTCCGCTACCAACTGGTTGGCCCGGAGGTTCATGTCCGACCATTGCACTTGCGCACACAACTCAAGGGTGACCGACGAATCCTGGTTGAATCGGATCGGGGCCAAGAAGCTCCCCTTCCCTTCTGGCGATGAAGTTCTGAAGCACCGAGCAAATATGAAGAAGATTCCTGGAAGAGACACTCTCTACGGCCAAACCCAGGAAGAATTTGGTTACTGGGACAAACTGGATTCTGGCGTGCCGGCTGATAACTACAGTGACTACCGAGAGGAGAGCAGTTATGACCCACTGTCCTCCTCCCGCCGTGGATACCTTGAAAGAAACGGGCCATATCGGAGCAGGACTATTATAGAAGACCCGGTGGACTACTATGACCAAGACCAGTATGACTACCACAAGTATAAAAACCAACAGCAATATGCCCCCTCGGCCAGTTATTCGCCCTATGAACCCTACGATGGCTTCGGAAATGAGTACGAAGGGGTCGAAGGGCCACAAGGGCCCACTTACGAAGAGACGGGTCAGGTGGAGTATCCCAACGAGGACGTCTACTCTCAGCACGAAGTCAGCTACAGCGAACAGGAGTGGCCCTCTGAGACGCAGGCTTCCTACAACCCTTATGCTTATCCGTTGGATGACATTGCAGAGACAGACGAGACTGAAGGCAATGAGGGAGGCCTAGCGGGTTACCGCTTCCCTTCTTTTCACTCTTCTCCACCTGGAGAACAAGGTGGGATAGATGATTTGACCTCTCAGCTGTCTTTGAACAGGGGGTTCCGGCTTTTTCCGAGGCCCCAAGTGAAGCTGTTCGGCGTAGACAAACTTGACGTCACGCTCCCACCTTCCCCACACTTTCCCTTTAGTCCTTGGGATCTTGAGGAAGAGGAGGAAGAGGAAGAAGTGGAGGAGGAGGAGTCTGAGCCTTTAGTTTCTCCCTTTGCCCAGTTTGACAATCAGAATCTGGACCCCCCTAGGTCTGCAGGGACCTTTTCGAAGATGTTGCCTAGCTGCTTTGTCACCAAGCTGCAAAGGCCTCTCTATAGAAACCCAACTGGGAGAAGTTTCGGCAGCAGAATGAGTCCAAGTAACCCTGATATCTCCCCAAGGGAGTATGGAAGCCCCCTTGGCCAGTTTCTACAAAAGACCCTCTCCCAACCAAAGCCCATCCTGAAGCACCGCAGGAGTGGAGGACCAACCAGGCCTCCTACGCCTCCTCCAATGCAAAGAGGTCCTTCACTGTTCAGTGAAAGATGGCTGACAAGGCCTGCTTCTCCTCAACCACCCCCAATGAGACACTTTGAAATGCCGAGTTCAGACCCTTCTCCAAAACCCGCGAGGCGGTACGGGGCTCTTCCGCCATCTCATCCCTCGGTGCGGTTACGAGACGCTCTTCACGAAGAACTGCACAATACGCTCCCGTTCCTGGGATTGCCTTCCTCCAAGAAGGGCCACCAAGGCCTTGGCACCTCATTGTGGAAATCCAACCCCATGTCTGCCATCAACAAAAGCTCCCCTCAACTTTCACAGAGACAGAACTCATCCACGTCTCTGAGATCGTTGGGGTCCAACAGGCGAAATCAACCCATGAAGAAGAACCCAACAGGAGGTTCTGCCATGCAATCATCTTCTTCACCTCAAATGACAGCACGCAACACACTCGCAAATAAACGCAACCCATCGTCCTCAAGCTTAGCCTCCGTCCAGACCCTAAAGACGGGTATTCCTTTCAGCCGCTCTTTGTTCTATGCTCCCTATAAGCCTGGCTCAGCCGAGGATGAGGACTTTCCAGGAAGGTATGGCCCATCATCTCATCCAGCCCCAAATCCCTTTCGGCCCCCGAGAAAGATGAACAATTTCCCTGTTGACCCCATGGGGAGGTTCCCACAAGCTTGGAACAGACAGAACGAGCCCCCCACCAAAGCGGTGAAGCCATTAATGCGGGATCAGTACATGAGGCAATTTGTCCCACAGTCCCCCATTTTATCCGCCCGGGACTCCCCTCACATGCCGAGCAGGCAAGGCAGCCGGAGGGTCACCATCCGCGAATCGCCAATAGATCCATCTCCATATGCTCAGCCTTACGAAGAGGCTGAAGGGTCAGCGGAGACACCATACTGGCCGCAGGAACAATGGGATTACCCTCCAGGAAATGGACTAAGAGGCCGGCGGAATTCCTTGCCCAAGAGAGGGTCTTCCGCAAGTCTAAGAAGTGTTTCCAATTTCCCTCAACAACCACCAAGTCCGGCCCCTAGCGCCCGCAAGGCCTTCCTTCAACGGATCGGCCAGCCTCTCGCCGGGATGGCGCAACCCGCTTCCTACATGGATCTGGAAGATGTCAATCCATACCAGGCTCAGTTTGGTCACTCCCCTGGACCTTCTCCAGCGCTTTCTAGAAGGTCTTTCCCCGAGGAGCCGTTTGCCGAGACAGTGGGAGAAGGGGACTACGCTCTGTCACTTACTCCGAAGATGACCCGCAAATATTCCTCTGGGAATATGTCCTACGGTGCTCCTGCTGGTAATTTAGGCAGCCCGGCATCCCAGCGGAGATACTCATTTAAAGGGTCACGAGGTGGTCCATCCATGGCTTATTATTCCCCGCCTTTCCAAGATAGATATGAACAGCCTCCAAGACCGGTTCCTCCCCATTTTCCAGATGAGTTTCTAGAACACGGAATGGAGGATGGTTTGGGGAGGTACGCCGTGGTGACCCCACAGATCCATCGGATGGGTTCTTCCTTCAGGAGGTCCTCCGGCCGGCAAAACCAACCCTGGAGCGACTACCACACCGTCCATGTTCATGAGATGCCTAACGAATGGGCAACGGGGAAGCTCTACCAGCGCCCTCCAACCGGAAGCTCCAAGCGGAAGGGCTCTCGCCGAGGTGGAAGCAGCCTCTTCTGGTACTTGACACGGGGGTCGTCGGTACACAAGCAAGACTATGGTGGAACCAACAGTAATTGGCAGTGCAAGGTAATTTTGGGTGACCTGGTGGCTTCTGTGGGTGCATTTGTACTGTGCACTTCATGTATTTTGACACCGCGTCAACTTCCACGGCTCAAGGCTATGGAATCCTGGGAGTTTAGTGAAGCACCAGGACTATTCGTTGGAGAAGGCTCAAGACCTTGTAAAACTACAACTCCCAGGATCCCAGAGAATTGAGCTAAAGTAGGGTCAAAGTGCATCAAGTCTACAGTGCTGATGCTTCCAGTGTCCGCAACAGTGAGGAGCTTGTTTTGCTTTTGAGTAGCAGCTGTCCAAGGTGCTGAACCTTGGATAACTCAATACAATTTGGAATAAAACCCTGTTGAGAGTGCCCTCACCTATCTACATCAGAGCTTCAGAGGATTATGGGGGTAGCAGTCCAGAAAAGGAGCCATTCCTCAGCGGTATTACTCAAGGAACAAGTTAGTTTATGTACTGTACTCTTTGGAGAGGGGGATTCTGGGTGTTGCAGTCCAGGAAAAGAACTTTTTCTCTGCTGTTTGGAGAATGCAATCGCTGTTAGTTTGGTACTCATGCTTGCCAGGGTGGATGCTGGGATGCATAGTCCAGAAGAAGCTCTGACATTCATAGAACGAGTTTGCTTTGGATGTTAGTTTTTTGGGTGTGTTGTCGAAGGCTTTCATGGCTGGAATCACTAGGTTGCTGTGTATTTTTTTAGCTGTGTGGCCATGTTCCAGAAGCATTCTCTCCTGACGTTTCACCCACATCTATCACTGGGTTGCTGTGTATTTTTTAGCTGTGTGGCCATGTTCCAGAAGCATTTTCTCCTGACGTTTCACCCACATCTATCACTGGGTTGCTGCGTATTTTTTAGCTGTGTGGCCATGTTTCAGAAGCATTCTCTCCTGATGTTTCACCCACATCTATGGCAGGCATCCTCAGAGGTTGAGGGGTCTGGTGCAAACTAGGCAAGTGGGGTGTATATCTCTGTGGAATAATGTTCAAGGTGGGGAAAAGAACTCTTGTCTGCTTGAAGCCAGCTAACACCTCCCAACAAAGGATTCCTCCAGGCAGCAAGCAGCCAGTCTTTGAAGCTGAAAGGTCATTCAATACTAATCAAGGCAGCCAACTGCAACATTCACAAGTCAGGATTATATATCTGTGGAAGGTCCAGTGTGGGATATATAAATATAAACCTCCCTTATTTAGTTTCCAACAGACCTCACAACCTCTGAGGATGCCTGCCATAGATGTGGCCAAAACATCAGGAGAGAATGCTTCTGGAACATGACCGTACAGCCCCAAAAAAAAAAAAACATCAACCCAGTTGCTTGGGTGTTGCAGTCCAAAAAGAGGTGTCCTTTTGATAGTGGGATTCTGGGATTTGTAGTTGAGAAAAGGAACCTTTCCAGCTCACATACTCAGAGACTGTAAGAGAGGGAATACAAGGAGCAGCGTGAGGATGGGAGGCACAAAGGCCCGGGATGCTAATGTTGGGATTTGATCCCTGACATGGAGCCGGGCCCAGAACAAGAGCAGAGGGTTAATTAGAGCCAAGCCGACTCCTGTTGCACGCACAGGGATGGGCCCAGCGGATCCGCATCCCTTTTATTTTTACTTTTACGATGAGTATTTGCTTACCGTTCTTTAGGCCCTTGTGTGACCGCAAGAGATGTGAGCAAAGCTCATCCCATTTCGCTTGGGGCTTTCTGATGGGGAATCTGCGCTGTTCGGCTCAAAAATAACACTCACTTGGGGTGATTCCACCATAAATATAGCAGAGTGCTAGAAGCAAAGTGCATAACCAGCTGAAACTTACACGGGGTGAGTCAGGATGAGCTACCATTCAACAGGATGGCACAATATTGCAGAGTCACAACTTTAGGTTCAAAATATTTACTGTAAATATTTAAAAACTGTAAATAAATAATGAAGTAAAAATAAATCCATTATAGATAGGAGCTAACTAGCTTACTAAGCTCATCTTCTAAAGAAGATAAAAGGAAATAATATCAAAAGTATCCATGCAGCTACATTTTGCCTGGAAAAAGGCAAAATGTGTCCTCAGTAGAAAGAAGACAAAAGCAGAAGAGAGAGGCCAAAATGGAGAATTGGATAGAAAAGGTTTTGGGGATAACTAGCTTACTAAGCTCATATTCTAAGAAAGGGAAAAGGAAAAAGAGTAAAAATATCCATGCAGTTACATTTTGCCTGGAGAAAGGCAAAATGCAGCCTCAGTAGAAGGAAGACAAAGGCAGAAGAGAGAGGCCAAGATGAAGAATTGGATAGAAAAGGTTTTGGGGATAACTAGCTTACTAAGCTCATATTCTAAGAAAAGTAAAAGGGTAGAGAGTAAAAAATATCCATGCAGTTACATTTTGCCTGGAGAAAGGCAAAATGCGTCCTCACTGGAAGGAAGACAAAAGCAGAAGAGAAAGGCCAAAATGGATAATTGGATAGAAAAGGTTTTGGGAATAACTAGTTTGCTAAGCTCATATTCTAAGAAAGGGAAAAGGGTAAAGAGTAAAAATATCCATGCAGTTACATTTTGCCTGGAGAAAGGCAAAATGCGTCCTCACTGGAAGGAAGACAAAAGCAGAAGAGGGAGAGGCCAAAATGGAGAATGACTACATGGCCAAACCCAGGGCAATAAAAATACCTTTAAAGAGGAAGATACCTCATCAACAACATCTTCAAAGGGGGAGGAGATAGTGGCAAGCAAGAAGAGATAAGAATGCATAGGAATGAGAAGGGAGGAATGCCTCACTCTAATCCTATTCCTGGTCTAACTACTCACTGAGATCTAAAGACTTGATTACATTACTTTTGCAGTCTGGGAATGAACCCCAACACTTTCCCCTGCAAGGTCCGGCCTCTGAGCATGTACTGACTTTCTCTTTCGTCCCTTTGCAAAATGCAGATGCACTCCGTCCACAACTTGCAGTCTGGGGCCCAGCAAGGAGACGACGGCGTGGAAGACATGACTCAATTGGAGTAAGTGGACGACGCATTTGGGAACCATAACAATGTCTCACTATTAGAAAAATGGGGAACATCCCAGAGCCTAAGAGGCAACTTTCTCCCAGATTGGGACCAGAAGGATATGTGTGTGTGCATGTATGTGTGTGTATGTGTATAGAAAATATGGGCAAATTTGAGCCCTCCAGGTGTTTTGGACTTCAACTCCCACAATTCTTAATAGCCTCAGGCCCCTTCCTTTACCCACTCAGCCTCTTAAGCAATTGGCCATCTTGATTAGCATTGAATGGCCTTGCAGATACAAAGCCTGGCTGCTTCCTGCCTGGAGGAAGAGCAACACTCAAAAACAAAGGAATTCCAGACAGGAAACAATCAGGGTGAGGGAGAAAAGGAAGAGCCCCAAGGCTGTTAGGAATTGTGGGAGTTGGAGTCCAAAACACCTGGAGAGCCCAAGTTTGCCCATACCTGTTCTAGAGCCATTACAACAGGTAGAAAGTGCCCTTTAAGACTTTGGATAGCAACATGTGAACACCACCCATTCATCGCATTTTCGCTATGTTTGTTTGGATCCAGGATATGTCTTACGAAGTTGATCCGAAATCCCGACCAGTACTCACTTTCTGTTTACTTTTTGTTGCTCCAAATGCTCTTCATTGAGCCCAAACTGGCCCCAATTGGGAACACAGTGGCCAAAGTGCCCACTCTGAATGTTGCGGTGCCTTTTTGAGTTTAGGAAAGGTCTCGCAGAAGCCCTCAAAACAACCCTGTCCTGTCTCCGAAAGGAGCTGTCAATGCTCTTTCCGCTGCAACTGAAAACTGTGTTTGGGAATGGCCTTGTTGACTTTTCAAGGTGGCATTCTTACCCTGAGATGGGGGTTCTGTTTGGGAAGTTTTTCCCAATTCTATCATTGTGGAGTTCAGAATGCTCTTTGATTGTAGGTGAACTATAAATCCCAGCAACTACAACTCCCAAATGTCAAGGTCTATTTCCCCCAAACTCCACCAGTGTTCACATTTGAGCATGTTGAGTATTCATGCCAAGTTTGGCCCAGATCCATCATTGTTTGAGTTCACAGTGCTCTCTGGATGTAGGTGAACTACAACTCCAAAACTCAAGGTCAATATCCACCAAACCCTTCCAATATTTTCTGTTGGTCGTGGGAGTTCTGTGTGTCAACTTTGGTTCAATTCCATCATTGCTGGAGTTCAGAATGCTCTTTGGTTGTAGGTGAACTATAAATCCCAACAACTACAACTCCCAAATGACAAAATCAACCCCCAACGCCCAACCCCACCAGTATGCAAATTTGGGCGTATCAGGTATTTGTGCCAAATTTGGTCCAGTGAATGGAAATACATCCTGCATATTAGATATTCACATTACGATTTGTAACAGTAGCAAAATAACAGTTATGAAGTAGCAACGAAAATAATGAAGTAGTAACGAAAATAATTTTATGTTTGGGGGTCACCACAACATGAGGAGCTCTGTTAAGGAGTCACTGTATTAGAAAGGTTGAGAAACACTGGTATAAACAAATAGAAGAAGAAGAAGAAGAAGAAGAAGAAGAAGAAGAAGAAGAAGAAGAAGTAAAAGTAAAAGTAAAAGTAAAAGTAAAAGTAAAAGTAAAAGTAGAAGTAGAAGTAGAAGTAGAAGTAGAAGTAGAAGTAGAAGAAGTAGAAGTAGAAGTAGAAGTAGAAGTAGAAGTAGAAGTAGTAGAAGTAGTAAAAGTAGAAGTAGAAGTAGAAGTAGTAGAAGTAGAAGTAGAAGTAGAAGTAGAAGTAGAAGTAGTAGAAGTAGTAGTAGAAGTAGTAGAAGAAGAAGTAGAAGAAGTAGAAGAAGGAGAAATAGAAGTAGAAATAGAAGAAGAAGTAGAAGTAGAAGTAGAAGTAGTAGAAGAAGAAGAAGTAGAAGTAGTAGTAGTAAAAGTAGAAGTAGAAGAAGTAGTAGTAGAAGTAGAAGTAGAAGTAGAAGTAGAAGTAGTAGAAGTAGAAGTAGTAGTAGAAGTAGTAGTAGAAGTAGTAGAAGAAGAAGTAGAAGAAGGAGAAATAGAAGTAGAAATAGAAGTAGAAGTAGAAATAGAAGTAGAAATAGAAGAAGAAGTAGAAGTAGAAGTAGAAGTAGAAGAAGAAGAAGTAGAAGAAGAAGAAGTAGAAGTAGTAGTAGTAAAAGTAGAAGTAGAAGAAGTAGTAGTAGAAGTAGAAGTAGAAGAAGAAGTAGAAGTAGTAGAAGAAGAAGAAGAAGAAGTAGAAGAAGTAGTAGTAGAAGAAGAAGAAGAAGAAGTAGAAGAAGAGGAAGTAGAAGTAGAAGAAGTAGAAATAGAAGCAGTAGTAGTAGAAGAAGTAGAAGTAGGAGCAGTAGTAGAAGAAGAAGAAGTAGAAGTAGTAGAAGTAGAAGCAGTAGAAGTAGAAGTAGAAGTAGTCCAGGGTACCATCCAACTAGTGTTTAGTAACCTCCGTTGCAATTCTCTTGCAGAGACAAGCAAGTGAACCCATGCATTTTTAGTTCCGTCAGTTGCTAATCAGTTCAGTAAATGCATCCTGCAGAGCAGGATTATTTGACTTTTCTTTGAGATCTCACCATCCACTTGGAAGTGCAATTCTCTATGGCTGCACTCCAACAACATCTCAGGGAAGTTGCTTTCTGGGGGACTACAAGTCCCACGGTCCCCCCTCCAGGATTATGGGTGTTGTCATCCCTTAGAAGCAGGTTTTGCCCAGCCTTTTTATTTCTCTCCGTTGCAGGGAACTCAAAGAAAGCATCGTTCTCCAGAACCTCAAGAAGAGATTTGAAAAGGGACTCATTTACGTAAGTGGCTTGGAGTATCATTCCACCCTTTGGCTCATTTCTCCCTCCTTAAAAACTCATGATTATCCTATTGTGGGATTGTGGGTTTAGCATAAAACATCACTCTACGCTAAGTTATACTATTCGTCTCAATCCTACCTCGCAAGGTTGTTGTGATCATCAAGTGACAATAAACTGGCGAGAATCTTCTATATGGGTTGCTGTGAGTTTTCCGGGCTGTCTGGCCATGTTCCAGAAGCACTCTCTTCTGATGTTTCACCTACATCTATGGTAGGCATCCTCAGAGGTTGTGAGGTCTGTTGGAAACTTGGCAAGAGGGGTTTATTTATCTGTAGAATAATGTTCAGGGTGGGAGAAACAATTCTTTTCTGCTTGAGGCAACTGTGAATGTTGCAAATAATTAGCATTGAATAGCCTTGCTGCCTCAAAGCCTGGCTGCTTCCTGCCTGGGGGGATCATTTGTTGGGAGGTGTTAACTGGTCCTGGTGGTTTCTTATATATTTCCCTCTGCTCTTTGAATTTTTTTAAAAAAATGCCTTTGATAGATAGATAGATACATACATACACACACACACACACACACTCATATATATGCACACACACTCTACACACCTCCCTCTCTCTCTCTCTCTCTCTCTATCTATCTATATATATATACATACACACACACACATACGCACACACACATTTACAAACTAAGAAGAAGGAAAGAATGGGATTTGGGATGCCGATCTAGACGATAAACTGTTTCCTCTCCTTGCTCCGGTTGGTTTTCCATTTGCTCTTTGAACATTTGGAGATACATCCACATTGCAGAATTAATGCACTTTGACGCCACTTGCAGCCATCTAGTCCATCCCCGTCTATGCCAGAATATACCAATCTTTCAACACCCCGGTGGCACAATGGGTTAAACTCTTGTGCCGGCAAGATGCTGATTGAAAAGTCGGTGGTTCGAATCCGGGGAGTGAGGTGAGCTCCCATATGTCAGCTCCAGCTTCTTATGTGTGAACATGGGAGAATCATAGAATCAAAGAGTTGGAAGAGACCTCATGGGCCATCCAGTCCAACCCCCTGCCAAGGACCAGGAATGTTGCATTCAAATCACCCCTGATAGATGGCCATCCAGGTGTCAGGGGTGATTTGAATGCAACGTTCCTGCCTCCCATATGAGAGAAGCCTCCCTCCTGGCCTTTAGAAAGAGAACAAAGACATGGCTATGGAACCAAGCTTTTGACTAGTAAAGTAATGCAGTACAAGACGTAAATATGGAGTGTGTGTAATGCACTGTTTATGTATGCAAGGCATTGAATTTTACCTTTATTTTTTGCAATTATTATTACAAATTATTATTTTTCTCCCCCAGGGGTGAGAAAAGTGGTATATAAATACTGTAAATAAATAAATAAGATGGTAGAACATCCGGACATCCCCTGCGTGACGTCCTTGCGCACACCAGAAGCGACTTGCAGTCTCAAGTCGCTCTTGACACACTCACACACACAAAAATCACAATTACTCTCTGGATGCCATTGGACTGCATCTCCCTGTATCCTTTGTCATGTGCAAAGCAGATTTAGCAACTTCTGGGGTTTGTAGTCCATCGATATCCGCAGTGCCGTGTGAATCGCTCCCCTGCTGCAGTGCAAGCATTCCAAATGTATATTGTTCCATTTGGATTTCTTTTCTTTGTCTTTCAGACTTACATCGGCAGCATCTTAGTCTCGATGAACCCTTACAAAATGTACAACATTTACGGGACCGAACAAGTGCTGCAATACGAAGGCAAAGCTCTGGGGGAGAACCCGCCGTAAGTCTCTCTTGCTTTGCAAACTCAACTTCAAGGCACGTCGCTTCCTTACAAAACAATCCGCATTTGTCCCCATTTTTAAATGGGGGGAACTGATCCACCTCCATGTCAGCGGGGCAAAGGATCCACTCCAGGATTTCAAACTCTCGCTAAGGCCTGAATCTTGGGTTTAACTCAATGCACGTGAACCAAAACCTGGCATAGATTTGGGAGCGCCGTATGATATAGGTAAAGCAGAAGCTGGTTTTTAGTACTATCAGGCCGCCCAAAATGTTCCAAGCATATCATTAAATTCTAGATGTGAAATTCTGGCTGGATTATCTATAACTGGGCCATATACAGAGCTAGTTTCCAATCTATTTGGTGCAACCTCATACAATTACGCTGCAAAGTTTGCAAATTAATACTGGTGTATATTATGTCCCTTTGAATATCCCCCTTTATCAAGCCATTTATCAAAATGTTATGATGTACTTCTGTTCTATATGGTTGCATTTTAATTATGATTTCATATGTGATTTTATAGGTGCTTTTATCTTGTGCCCCGCAGCTAATAAATAAATACATACATACATAATGTGTTGTTGAAGGCTTTCATGGCTAGAATGACTGGGATGCTGTGAGTTTTTCGGGCTGTCTGGCCATGTTCCAGAAGCATTCTCTTCTGACATATCGCCCACATCTATGGCAGGCATCTGTTGGAAGCAAGTGTGAATGTTGCAACTGGCCACATTGAAGCTGCAAGGCCACATTAGAATTAAATGGCCTTGCAGCTTCAAAGCCTGGCTGCTTCCTGCCTGGGGGGAATCCTTTTTTTAGGAGTTGTTAGCTGGCCCTGATTGTTTCCTGTCTGGAATTCCCCTGTTTTTTTAGTGCTGCTATTTATTTACTCTCCTGATTTTACAGTTTATTTTAATACTGATAGCCAGATTTTGTTCTTTTTCGGGCTTTGAAGCTGCAAGGCCATTCAATGCTAATCAAGCTGGCCAATTGCAACATTCACACCTGCCTCCAACAGACAAGAGTTCTTTCTCCCACCCTGGACAACAAATATATATGTGTGTGTGTGTTTATGTATGTGTGTGTGTGTGTGTGTGTGTGTGTATACACGCACACCCCACTTGCCAAGTTTCCAACAGACCTCACAACCTCTGAGGATGCCTGCTGTAGATGTGGGCAAAACGTCAGGAGAGAATGCTTCTGGAATATGGACATACAGCCCAGAAAACTCACAGTATCATAGAATCATAGAATCAAAGAGTTGGAAGAGACCTCATGGACCATCCAGTCCAACCCCCTGCCAAGAAGCAGGAATATTGCATTCAAATCACCCCTGACAGATGGCCATCCAGCCTCTGCTTAAAAGCTTCCAAAGAAGGAGCCTCCACCACACTCCGGGGCAGAGAGTTCCACTGCTGAACGGCTCTCACAGTCAGGAAGTTCTTCCTCATGTTCAGATGGAATCTCCTCTCTTGTAGTTTGAAGCCATTGTTCCGCGTCCTAGTCTCCAAGGAAGCAGAAAACAAGCTTGCTCCCTCCTCCCTGTGGCTTCCTCTCACATATTTATACATGGCTATCAGTAAACCCAATAATAATAATAATTTCGTGTCAGGAGCAACTTGAGAAACTGCAAATTGCTTCTGGTGTAAGAGAATTGGCCATCTGCAAGGAGACCTGGATGTTTTGATGTCTTACTATCCTTGTGGGAAGTTTCTGTCATGTCTCTGCATGGGGAGCTGGAGCTGTTAGAGGGAGCTCAACCCGCTCCTCCCGGATTCGAACCGCTGACCTATTGGTCAGCAGTGCTGCCAGCACAAGGGTTTAACCCATTGCACCATCGGGGGCTCAATAATAATAATAATAATAATAATAATAATAATAATAATAATAATAATAACAACAACAATAGTTGTTGTTTTTTCTTTAGTTTCTGCTAAATATAAACAAATACAGTTAAAGTTAATACCTGCCCACAAGTAATATTAATACAAACAAATGACTAAAAGGTCATTCTTATAATTTCAGATTTAATTTCCCATCTCAGTGTCTCACTCCATTTTCCCCTTTCATCTAAATTAATCATAACATATTTCAACGCTTTCCCCTGATATAATACCTTATTTTATTTCTCCCTTCATATTCAATGTTCTCATTTCCCCTCTATATTTGATTTTAATTTCTTCCAAAGATTTCTATTGTTAATGTATCTTTCAATATTTTCTTTAGTCACCTTTTTGCCGTCACTAGTATCGCCTACAGCAAGCTGAGAGATGCCAAATTCAACCAGTGTATTATTATAAGGTGAGCCCTTTATTGTCATAGTAGCCTGTTTGCAAGGAAAAAGCAAAGGATTTTCTGAATAACAAACCAATTGTGTTTCTTCTAGCGGTGAGAGCGGCTCTGGGAAAACAGAAGCCACCAAGCTGATCCTTCGTTACCTGGCGGCAATTAACCAGAAACACACAGCAACACAACAGGTATGTTGTTCTCATGGAGAACCCCATTTCTCATTTCTACCTCTGAGTAAGCCTTTCTGACTATATACGTCCCTCTTGTGGTTGCATCTGAGCACTGCATAGATACATATTTATTCTTTTTTTGATCTCCTAGCTCTAAACAGGGTGAATTTTTTAATTGAACCCTCACTGGTATTTTAAGTTGGTTAATGAAGTATATATATACCGAGTTTGGTCCAGATCCATCAAGCCATGCAGGAGATTTTGCAGAATAAACATACAAACATACATTAATCTCTCCCCTAGAGTCAGCTTTTCTATCTATACGCTGCCCTCTTGTGATTGCATCTGAGTACTGCATGGACATATACATATTGATTCGGTTTTGGGAGCCTAGCCCCAAATGAGGTGGATTTTTTACATTGAAATCCTGCCAGTATTTCAAGATGGATCATGAAGAGTATGTGTCCTAAGTTTAGTCCAGATCCATCAAGCCATGCAGGAGATTTTGCAGAATAAACATACAAACATGTATTAATCTCTCCCCTCAAGTCAGCCTTTCTATCTGTATGCTGCCTTCTTGTGATTGCATCTGAGTACTGCATGGACACATAAATATAGATTCAGTTTTGGGTGCATGGTCAAAAATGAGGTGGATATGTTGGATCATGAAAGGTATGTATCCTAAGTTTACTCCAGCTCCATCATGCCATGCAGGAGATTTTGCAGAATAAACATACAAACATGTATTAATCTCTCCCCTTGAGTCAGCCTTTCTATCTATATGCTGCCCTCTTGTGATTGCATCTGAGTACTGCATGCACACATACATATTGATTCGGTTTTGGGGGCCTAGCCCCAAATGAGGTGGATTTTTTATGTTGAAATCCTGCCAGTATTTTAAGTTGAATCATGAAGAGTATTTGTCCTAAGTTTAGTCCAGATCCATCAAGCCATGCAGGAGATTTTACAGAATAAACATACAAACATGTATTAATCTCTCCCCTTGAGTCAGCCTTTCTATCTATATGCTGCCCTCTTGTGATTGCATCTGAGTACTGCATGCACACATACATATTGATTCGGTTTTGGGGGCCTAGCCCCAAATGAGGTGGATTTTTTATGTTGAAATCCTTCCCGTATTTTAAGTTGGACCATGAAGGGTATGTATCATAAGTTTACTCCAGATCCATCAAGCCATGCAGGAGATTTTGCAGAATAAACATACAAACATATATTAATCTCTCTCCTTGAGTCAGACTTTCTATCTGTATGCTGCCCTCTTGTGATTGCATCTGAGTACTGCATGGACACGTACATATTAATTTGGTTTTGGAGGCCTAGCCCCAAATGAGGTGGATTTCTTACGTTGAAATCCTGCATGTATTTTAAGTTAGACAATTAAGGGTACGTATCCTAAGTTAACTCCAGATCCATCAAGCCATGCAGGAGATTTTGCAGAATAAACATACAAACATGTATTAATCTTTCCCCTTGAGCCAGCCTTTCTATCTATATGCTGCCCTCTTGTGGCTCCATTTGAGCACTGCATATATATTTATAGCCCAGGAGCCAATCCTTTTATATACTGCTCTCTTGTCGTTTTGTCTGAACACTACATACATACATACCCATTTATTTGTGGTATGTGAATTGGACCATGAAGAATATATATTGCAGTCTGGCTTCAGGCCAGGTCGTGGAACCGAGACATCCTTGGTCTTCTTTCTGCAAGGTGCTCAAGAAGGATACTGTGGTCTTCGGTATCGATGGCCACTGAGAGGTCCAGGAGAACCAACAGGGACACACTCCTCCTGTCGAGTTTCCTTAGTAGATGATCTAACGCAGGGAACTGGATAGGAGAAGTGTGTCCCTGTTGGTTCTCCTGGACCTCTCAGCGGCTTTCGATACCGAAGAACACGGTATCCTTCTGGAGAACCTCACAGAAATGGGACTTGGCAGCACTGTTGTGCTCCAATCCTTCCTGGACGATCACTTCCAGAAGGTGTTGTTGGGGTACACCTCCTCGGCCCCACGTCTCTTGTTTTGTAGGGTCCCGCAGGGTTCACTATTGACCCCCATGTTGTTTAACATCTACATCAGTGGTTCTCAACCTGTGGGTCCCCAGATGTTTTGGCCTTCAACTCCCAGAAATCCTAATATTTGGTATACTGGTTTGGATTTCTGGGAGTTGTAGGCCAAAACACCTGGGGACCCACAGGTTGAGAACCACTGATCTACATGAAGGCGCTGGGAGAGGTCATCCGTAGTTTTGGAATTCGATGCCACCTTTACGCTGATGACTTCCAACCCTATCACTCTTTTCCACCAACTGCTAAAGAGGCTGTTCAGGTCCTGAACCCGTGTCTGATAGCTGTGACGATTTGGATGAAGGTGAACAAACTGAAATTGAATCCAGACAAGACGGTCAGTCGAAAGGCTGAACAGAGTATAGGGCAGGCATGTAGCTGGGGGGGGGGGGCTTGGGGGCTTCAGCCCCCCCCCCCGAAATTCTCATGGTGGTGCGCGAAAAGGCCTTACTGGTGCATTATTTAAACTGTTATGTTTATTCATATCATGATCTGATCACCATACTCAATATATCCCATATGCATGGGGGTATTGGGGTAATGATACAAAAGGTTTGCTAGGGCTGACCCTCTTTCACTCAGACTCAGCCGCCCCCCCAATCGAACTCAGCCCCCCCGAAACCCCCCCTGAAAAAAAATTCAGCCCCCCCGAAACGAAATCCTGGCTACGGGCCTGGTATAGGGTTATAGCCTGTGTTGGATGGGGTCACACTCCCCCTTGAAATCATAGGTTCTCAACTTGGGAGTTCTCCTGGATTCATCACTGAGCCTGGAACTCCAGGTTTCGACAGTGGCCAGGGGAGCCTTTGCACAATTAAAAAATGTGCACCAGCTGTGCCCGTCCCTTGAGAAGCCATGGTTGTCAACACTCTTGTTACATCTCGATTAGTTTACTGCAACACACTCTGTGTGGGGCTGCCTTTGAAGACTGTTTGGAAGCTTCAAATAGTCCATCAGTCAGCAGACAGGCTGCTCACCAGAGCAGCGTATAGGGAACATACAACTCCCCTGCCGCATCAGCTACACTGGCTGCCAATCTGCTATCGAGCATAATTCAAAGCCCTAAACAGTTCTGGTCCAGCTCACCTGTCCGAACATATCTCCCTCTATGAACCAACCCGATGCTGAGATCTTCTAGGGGTGCTCTGCGCTCAATCCCATCTCCTTTGCAGGTGCAGTTGGCGGAGCCTTCTCAGTGGTGGACCCTCGGACCCTTTTCCTAGCGAAATTAGATCACCCCCCTCCTGATGGCACAGCAGGTTAAACTGCTGAGCTGGTGCTGGTTGGCAGTTTTAATCTGGGGAGCAGGGTGAGCTCCCGCTGTTAGCCCCAGCTTCTGCCAATCTAGCAGTTCAAAAACATGCAAATGTGAGTAGATCAATAGGAACCGCTGTGACAATGTGTAACTTTTATTCTTATGGTTATGTGTTGTTTAAACAGTAGTTAATAAACGGTAAGTATGTAGGATTATATTTTGTTAGATATAGTGGCTGGTTTGGCTTGAGCAGAGTTGCCATAGCAACGGGGGCGGAGCCAACTGTCACTTCACGGGGCAGCTGTTTGAAAGTGGCAGTCTGTGACCGGTAGAGTTACAGGGAAGACTGATTTCTCTAGTGGGAGAAACAGGGAACTAGTCTGTGACCAAAGAGTTACAGGAGAAGGTAGTTGATCCTGTGGTGTGTGGAAAACCATCAGGAATACTATAGTTAGAGAACTATAGGGAAGACTGGTTCTTTAATATTAAGAATCAGGGTTTGGCTGGGAGCCAATTCTGTTAAATAAGCCTTTTAGCTTATTTGTTTTATTAGGACAGTTGTCCAGGAAAGATACATCTGCTTATAGAAACCTCTTAAAGTCTGTACCTAAAGTTACTCATGAAACCTTACTAATGTAACCTATCAAGATTTGTGCCTCTTGTGAAGAAACAATCGAATCTGTTATACCTTGCTTGTTCCAATAAAATTGTTACTGTTCTCCTCAAGCCTTGCTTGATACAGTTTCTCCTAAGTCAAACAGCCTGCATAAGTAGAAATACCAAACCAGGGACATTAAACGCTATGCTATTAAATAAATAAATACTTCTGTAACTAATAGTCCCTTTATAAACCAGCTCCTAAGTTGATGCTGAGAATTACAGGACTTCCTCACAACCGCTTTCGCAGGAAGGTAACGGCACTCCATGCAGTCATGCTGGCCACATGCCCTAGGAGGCGTCTACGGACAACACCGACTCTTTGGCTTAGAAATGGAGATGAGCACCACCCCCCAAAGTCAGACACAACTAGACTTAATGTCAAGAGGAAACCTTTACCTTTACCCTTTTACCTCCCTCCTATCCTTTAGAAAACAAGTTAAAACCTGGCTATTGAACCAGGCTTTTAGAGAGTAGCACAGAGCTATATGCAGCAACAAAGTTAATGCCAATATGATTAGAAAAGCTTCTGGGTTATTATTTTTAGTCTATGTGTTATCTTTTAACATCTTATTTATGTATTTATATGTTCCTGTTTTATTATTTTAATGATTTAATGCACAATGTATATTGTATTTTTGTTTATCTTTTGTTAATGTGGGATTGAATTATTGCCAATTTAAAAGCCACTCTGAGTTCTTTTCAGGGTCGAGATAGAATAGGGTAAAAGTGCAGTGAATAAATAAATAAATAAGTTTGGTTCGGATCCATCAATTTATCTGAAAGATATTGTAGAACAAACAAACCAACAAACATTCATCTCTCCCTTTGAGTTAGCCTTTCTATCTATATTCTACCCTCTTGTGCTTGCATCTGATAACAGCATTCATACATATTGATTTGTTTTTGGGGGGGGCCTAGCCACAAATGGGGTGGGATTTTCAAATTGAAACTTTGCCAGTATTTTAAGTTGGATAACGAAGAGTATGTTTACCAGGTTTGGTCCGGATCTATCAATCCATGCAGGAGATTTTGTGGAACAAACATACAAACACACATACCTATTTTCACTTTTCTATATTGTGTATGTTTGTATGTTTGTTCCAGAAAATCTCCTGCATGGCTTGATAAATCTGGACCAAACTTGGTAAACATACTCTTCATGTATAGAGATTTATATTCTTCCAGCTAAAAACACCTGCAGTTTTATAAACCAATTGACATTTCGCATGAGGATGCAATTAATAACATAGAGATGCAAAACATGCCAGATACAAAGTCAGACCTGCGTGAACATTGAAATAAAACATGCCTTGACTGTGGGTAAAGGGAAGACTTCCCTTCTGAAACATTAACTTTCATTGTTTACTGTTTCTCAATCCTGGATGCTTCGGTTCTGGTGTCTCCCCAGATAGAGGTATGGAGTGATGGTTTTGTGGTGCTGGGATTTCTGTGTGATTTCATGAAGTGGATGAAACTGCATGTCTTTCTGTTTCAGGTCATAAATCGAGGACCTTGGTGGACATTGTCCCCCCAAATAAAAACTCTGCCCCATAATGATTTTTCCCTCCAGTCCCCAAATTTGCACCATTGACCATTTTTGCAAATCCTTCCCCAACTATAACTCTGCTTCTTTTTGAAGACTCTCTTTAGGGAATGCTTTCCAAATAAGCTAGAGATGCATCTGCATTGTAGAATTAATACAGTTTGGCACCACTTTAACTGTGGAATCATGTGAGTTGTAGCTCTGCCAGGCTTTGTGCCTTCTCTGCCAAAGAGGGTTGGTGCCTCACCAAACTATAACTCCTAAGATCCCATAGCATTGACCTATAGTAGTGAAGAGACACAGAATGTTTATTCTGGGTCTTTGGTGGAAACTACGGGTGCATCTATACCAGGCGTTGGCAAACTTCGGCCCTCCAGGTGTTTTGGACTACAACTCCCACAATTCCTAACAGAATGTGGGAGTTGAAGTCCAAAACACCTGGAGGGCTGAAGTTTGCCCAAGCCTGATCTATACTGTAGCTTTAAGGCAGTTTGATGACACATTAACTTAGTGCAGTTTGACACTCAATGCTGTGATATTCTAGGAGTTGTAGTTTTACGCAGACTTCAGCCTTCTGTGTCAAAGAGGTCATACTACAACTCCCAGGATGACTTTCGTTGCATCTATACTATGGACTGAATGGAGTTTGACACCACTTTAATTGCCAAGTGCATTGCTATGGAATCCTGGGAGTTGCAGTTTGCTTAAGCACCAGCCCTCTTTGGCAAAAGAGTCTAAAGACCTTGCAAACTCACAACTCCCAGGATTCAATAACCTTGAGCCATGGCAGTTAAAGTGATGTCAAACGGAATTCATTCAACAGTGAAGTTGCACTTCTTGGATTTACAGTCTGTCCTCTCTGGTTTGCTTGGCTCGCTTTCCTCCTTTTCCCTCTGGAATGCTTTGCTTTAGAAGGGACTGCTTCTCGTTTTTTCTGTGTCACGATGCATTCAAGGTATACATTTGTAATTTGTCAATTCTGAATCTCTTCCCATTTGCTCCGAGCCAGATCCTCGAAGCCACTCCTTTGCTGGAATCCTTCGGCAATGCCAAGACGGTGCGCAACGACAACTCCAGCCGGTTTGGGAAATTTGTGGAAATTTTTCTGGAGGAGTAAGTAATTCTCACTTGTTCCTTTCTCCCCTGCCTTTCAGCCTGCTTGCTTCAACGTGGAATATATATTTATATATGAATTCCATTGAGTAGAATTTAGTGTGCCCATAATTGTCATAATTCAGCCAGCTGATGACGATGAGGGGTTGGGGGGTGCAGGGCCTGATGGTTCTGTGGGTGCCCAGACAGAGAGGGTTTTGGAGCAAGATCATTCTCCAGTTAGGAGAACGGAGGGAGTTTCAGAGCAAGATGGTTCTCCAGTTGGGAGAATGGAGAGGGTTTTGGAGCAAGATGGTTCTCCAGTTGGGAGGTGAGATGGTTTTGGAGCAAGATGGTTCTCCAGTTGGGAGAACGGAGGGGGTTTTGGAGCAAGATAGTTCTCCAGTTGGGAGACTGGAGATGGTTTTGGAGCAAGATGGTTCTCCAGTTGGGAGAATGGAGGGGGTTTCGGAGATGTTGTTTCTGAGTGTGGGACTAAAACTGTTTTGGAAGTCAACAAGCAGGGAAGGGAAGATAACATTAGCTCATCTGAAGAAACATCTGGCTTAGACAGAGATACCAGGCTGTTCCCGAGGAGAAGAAAGGAGATTCCATCTGAACATTAGAAAGAACTTCCAGACTGTGAGAACTGATCAGCAGTGGAACTCTCTGCTTGGAGTGTGGTGGAGGCTCCTTCTTTGGAGGCTTTTAAACAGAGGCTGGATGGCCATCTGTCGGGGGTGCTTTGAATGCTATTTCCCTGCTTCTTGGCAGAATGGAGTTGGATTGGATGACCCACTGGATGACTCTATGACAGGAAATTCAGGTGCAAGCAAAGTCATGGGAAGGAGAGAGGCAGATGCAGGCTTATCAAGGTCAAATGAATGTGTTCATGTTTTGCAGCCCTTAAATGAGAGAGAGAGCTGTTAGGATTTCAGATCAAGAAGAGATCAAAGAACACTGGTTTAAGATCTTTTATATGTGGTATTTAATCTCTGAAAAGTTAGCCAAATATAGCAAGGGAAAGATTAGTAATACATGTTGGAAATGTGGGGAAAACACTGGCACCTTTATGCACATGTGGTGGGAGTGTAAGATTATTTTGTATACAAAAAGATGAAAGAAATTCTACAACTTAAATTTGAATTCCGACCCGAATATTTTTTATTGGGAATTATAGATTTCCAAATCAACAGAAATACTAATAAGATCTTCTTTTACCTTGCTACAGAATAAGTATAGCCTGCTTCTGGAAAGCTAAAGAAACAGCTACAATGAATGGGTGGATTGCGAAGGCATTAGATATCATGAATATGGATCTATTGACCCAAAACATAGCTCTAAACAGAAATATTTTAAATAAAACAAACTGGAACAACTTTATTAATTTCTTTTAAAAAAACAGCAACTACAAAAGTTCATAAAAGTGGAATAAAAGTGAAATCAAGTAGTCCTTAGGGCCAAACATAAGTTATATGTATAGGGACATATACAAGTAGAAAGGAAGTCAATGTATAGAAATAAGTACTACCACATTAAGCAGTCTGGAAGTAATAGGAATAATATATATTGTATCTATGTTGGTGTGTAGGGAGGGATTAAGATTATTTTTGTTTTCTTTTTTCCCTCTTTCTTCTTTTCTTTCCTTCAAATATTTTACCTATAACCTTGTCTAATGTATCTAATGCTGTTGATGTGTGTTGATGTATTTCGTTGGTATTTGTTAATTTAAAAAAAGGATTTCAGATCAAGCAACTTCACTACTGGAGTAGGAAACTCCTGTCTTGTTCCCAGTTCAATCCAAGGTACCGACATTATGGCATTTGGGTGGTTTCCTGCAAATCAAAGGAGACGCTTCCCATCTTCTCCCCTTGCACAGAAAATGGCACTCGCTAATTAATTAACGGCATCCTTGCAGTCATGCTGGCCACATTACCTTGGAGGTGTCTACAGACAACGCCGGCTCTTCGGCTTAGAAATAGAGATAAGCACCACACCCCAGAGTCGGACACGACTGGACTTAATGTCAGGGGAAAACCTTTACCTTTACTAAGTAATGTAGTTTTAGGTATACAATGGATGTGTCTGCACTATTGAATTAGCATAGTTTGATACCACTTCCATTGCCCCAGCTCTATGCTATGGCATCCTGGACATTAGTAAGGTCTTCAGACGTCTCTGCCCAAGAATGGAAACTACAACTCCTAGGATGCTATAGCAATGAACAATGGAGGTTAAAGTGGTATCAAACTGCATTCATTCTTCAGTGTAGATGTACCTCTTTGCCAGATCGAGCCAACCCAAATCCATGTATTTGTTTGTCTCCCCAGCAATGGGTCCATCTGCGGTGCCATCACTTCCCAGTACCTTCTGGAGAAATCGAGGGTTGTCTTTCAGGTGAGGCGGGTGCTTTACTTGCATTTCCCTAACCATCTTCTTGTAGCGTGTCTTCGAGTCATTCCTGACATTACAGAGACTCTGTTTTCTTGTCGTTTGCACTTGGAGACGGTTTTCCTTTGCTTCCCTTGAGGCTGAGAGAGCATGGCCCACCCAAAGCCTCCATTACGTTTCCATGACGGAGCAAGAATCCAAACCCTGGCTTCCCGAGTCTCTTTCAGGCAATGAGTCTGATTAAAATAATACCAACCAATACACTATGTAGCACGATTTTTGTTCCTGGATATCTAAGGGGCAAATATGTGGGACATGGGACCCCAATTCCCCATCACGTGGGATATTAATTTGGCGATGCCTTTCCAACCCCGGATTTGGTGCCGATGATCCTCTCTCTTCTCTTGCCTCATTTCTTAGGCCAAAAACGAACGCAACTACCATATCTTTTATGAGATGCTGGCTGGACTTCCTGCCCAGCAGAAGAGGAAATTTGGCCTCCAGGAGGCAGAAACCTACTACTATCTCAACCAGGTAGGGAGCAATGGCCACAAAGTCAAGGTGCCGTTGGGCAAGTGGGGCAAATCTCCATAAACATATATATATATACAAATATATAACAAGTATATATACCTGACATTTTTTATTTGGGGGGGGGGTCCTTGCCCCAAAATGAGCTGGATTATAATTCCTTTTAATTATAATTAGGGGATGTATTGTCGAAGGCTTTCATGGCTGGAATCACTCGGTTATTGTAGGTTTTTTCGGGCTATATGGCCATGGTCAAGAGGCATTCTCTCCTGACGTTTCACCTGCATCTATGGCAAGCATCCTCAGAGGTAGTGAGCCATGCTTGCCATAGATGCAGGCAAAAGGGGAAGGTAACAGCGCTCTACGATGTCATGCTGGCCACATGACCTCGGAGGTGTCTACGGACAATGCTGGCTCTTCAGCTTAGAAATGGAGATGAGCATCATCCCCCAGAGTCGGACACAACTGGACTTAATGTCAGGGGAAAACCTTTACCTTTACCTATGTATGTGTATATCCCTGCCCTCCTCTTTGATCTCTTTCCCAGGGAGGAAACTGTGAGATTCCTGGCAAAATGGACCTGGAGGACTTCCACCGCCTCCTTGATGCCTTGGAGATCCTGAACTTCACTCCACAAGACCAGGAGAGCATCTTCCGGATCCTGTCCTCCATCCTTCACCTGGGGAACGTCTACTTTGAAAAATACGAGGTGAGCGCAGACTCTGGGGGAAAGTTCATCTTTCCAGAGTCAACCTGGAGCCTATGATTCGCAGGGATTCTGGGATTTGTAGTCCAAAGAGGAATTTCATTGTGTAAATGTGCTGCAGGATGTCCTGCAAAGACAAAATTATGCCGCTTAATAAACTTTTTCCATGTTTTTGTTGTAGTAAATGACATTTATAACCCAGGAACATGAATCTTATTACATAATGTAATGCCACTCTTGAATTTGTTGCTTTGCAGACGGACTTCCAGGAAGTGGCCTCGGTTGTTAGTGCGAGGGAAATCCGTGTTGTGGCCGAACTCTTGCAAATCTCTCCCGAAGGATTGCAACGGTCCATCACTTACAAAGTGACGGTAAGAGGAGGAGGAGTAGACCTCGGGATCCAGCCAATGGGACGCTTTTTTGTGTCAGGAGCAACTTGAAAAACTGCAAGTCACTTCTGGTGTGAGAGAATTGGCCGTCTGCAAGGACGTTGCCCAGGGGACACCCAGATGTTTGAAGTTTTACCATCCTTGTGGGAGGCTTCTCTCATGTCCCCTCATGGGGAGCTGGAGCTGACAGAGGGAGCTCATCTGCATTCTCCCTGGATCCAAACCTCCAACCTGTCAGTCTTCAGTCCTACCAGCACAAGGGTTTAACCCATTACACCACCAAATGTCACCACAGGAGATTTGGAGAGGCAAGAAAAACAGTTTCTTCATAGCTGACCTGTGGAACTCTCTGCCACAAGACGGAGGCTGCTAACTTTAAAACATTTCTTTTTTCCTTCCCTTTGCTTTCTCCATAGGAGACCATGAGGGAGAAGATTTTCACCCCGCTCACTGTCGAGAGTGCGGTCGATGCCAGGTAAAAAAGGGGACGATGGGAGTTGGGGTCCTTGGGCAACTTGGGCAACTTGGGAAACATAGGTTTCTTATGTGTCAAGGAGACTTGTGCCTTGATATAAATGGCATCAACCTGTTCTGGATGTTCATGATTTTTCTGCATTTTGAGATATTTTGCGCAGAAAATTCGCTTGCAACAAAAACAATTGGTTCCTGGCACAAAGTGATATGTATTGTCGAAGGCTTTCATGGCTGGAATCACTGGGTTGTTGTAGGTTTTTTCGGGCTATATAGCCACGTTCTAGAGGCATTTTCTCCTGACGTTTCGCCTGCATCTATGGCAAGCATCCTCAGAGGTGGTGAGGTCTGTTGGAATTAGGAATATGGGTTTATATATCTGTGGAATGACCAGGGTGGGGCAAAGAACTCTTGTCTGTTGGAGCTAGGTGTGAATGTTTCAATTGACTACCTTGATTAGCATGTGATGGCCTGGCAGTGCCTGYGGCAATCTTTTGTTGAGAGGTGATTACTAGATGTGCCTGATCGTTTCCSRTCTGTMST